GGCAATGAATGTCCAAATGTGCTTTACACAATTGATGTATGTATGGATTGTGATAAGAGTTGTATGAGCCCCTAATAAAATGATTTTAAAAATAATTTAAAAAATTTTTAAATGCCCAAAAAATAAGATAAAGGTCTTTTTGCTTACTTTTATAAGATAGGCATGGGAAGCAAGCCAGAGGAGAAAGCAACAGGACTGACAGTTCTGGAAGGACTTGGTGGGAGGAGGCGGCAGGGGAAAGGAACGGTGAGCAAACAGCACTACAGACAAGGGAAAACTAGGGAATTAAAAGGAACAACAAGGACGATGTAGAGACCGGGTGGTGAGGGAGCAGCCACAATCTAGCTGAGAGGAATTTCTAAGAGGCAGAAGGGCAAACATGATGGTGGGACAGGAGAAAGTTAAAAGAAAGAGAGGAAAGATCTAGGAATCAAAGCTATAATTATAAACATATGTGTGCACTTATGTAAATATACTGATTCATAAAAATAGAGGTTTGGGCCTATGTACATATATTTATATGGCAATACACTGAGGAAATTGGTGGATTTTGGGCCTATGCTCAAGCTCTCCCTCAATGCAAGAACACATTGTTCTAACAACCTGGTATTCTGTGATGCTCACCCTCCTGCCAAGATCTGATGAAGACACAATGGGTGCATGAGCAAATGTGGTGAAGAAAGCTGATGGTGCCTAGCTATCAAAAGATATTGCATCTTGGATCTTAAAGGCTTGAAGTTAAACAAGTGGCCATATACCAGAAAAGCAACAAACCCACATGGAAAAAACACACCAGCCTGTGTGATCATGAGGTGTCAACATGATCAGGTAACAGGCATCAGAAGTCCAAAAACAAAAAGACATATTGTTGAGAATGAGGGGAAATGGAACACAGACCCCAAACCCATCTGTAGACAATAGGACATTCCCTCCCTCCCAGATGGGTCGCGAGGAAGGGATGAGTCAACCAGGGCACAGTACAGCACCAATGAAACATACAATATTCCTCTGGTTCTTTGAGGCTTCCTCATTCCCCACTATCATGACTCCAGTGCTGCCTTTCAGTTTTGGCTAGACCAGAGCATGTACACTGGTATAGGTAAGAGCTCACGACACACAGAATCCAAGTCAGATAAACCCGCCAGGAACAGAAATGGGGGTAGCTATAATACAAGGGTAGGAGGAATGTGGGGGAGGGGGAAGGGGGAATCAATTGATCATGCATAACTCCCCCCACCCCCACAGGGGGGGACACAGACAAACAACAGAAACATGGGTAAAAGGAGGCAGCGGTTGGTATAAGATACGAAATAATAATTTATCATTTTTCAACTGGTCACAAGGGGGGAAGAGGGGGAAGGAGGGGGTAAAATGAGCTGATATCAAGGGGGCAAATAGAAAGTAAATGTTTAGAAAATGATGATGGCAACATATGTACAAATATGCTTTAATACAATTGATGTTGGAATGTTATAAGAGTTTTAAGAGCCACCAATAAAATTATTTTTAAAGGTTTTATTTAAAAATAAAAGTGAATGTAAATACAAGCCACTTAGAAAAGTAAATTGAAAATAGATCACTCCCTCCCTCACTGCCTCTGGGTTGTTTCTGATTCATAACAACCCTACAGGACAGAAAACTGCCCCTTTAGGTTATTGAGACTTTACATTTTTACACAAGAGCAAACACCCTCATCTTTCTCTTGCTATTCCATCATAACCAAAGATATTCAAAACAGTTCCTATTTTCCTAACTAATTGAATTTTGTGTGTGTGTGTGGGGGGGACACAAGATCATCACCAAGATGGAGTGACACAGTGGCTCCAACAACAGGCTCATAGCAGTGATTGAGAGGATGGCACAGGACCGGGCAGGGTTTTGTTCAGTTGTACATAGAGTGGCTATGAGTCAAACCTAAATCAATAGCACCTACTAATTCAGTTTCTATTTTTCCTTTTAAAGGTGTATTCTCAAAAACATGCCTAAAGCTGTATGACTGGATGGAAATCCAGAACTGTGAGTTTCTCTGGTATAAATAGATTTTTTTTTTTAACTATGCAAGAAGTCAGTGCCTCTATCACCTGCATTGTTTGCTCAAAGGTCAACTGTAGAGGCTTATAACTTGTAAGCAGGAACAGGTATTCATTTCCCTGGCATGTCAAGAAAATTTAAGGAGTTCTTCTTCCCAAATGGAGCGGTTCTTTTACTTTTCATCATACACGAGACAAAATGACTTCTGAGTTCGGGAAATGACCAAAAAAACAGGAATAATTAAAAATACCCAAATTAAGAACGGTTGGTTATTTGAAATTGATTTACCAATTTTCCCTATCCTTCTTCTGGAAATATACCAAGAATAGACAATCTCATATTATTAGCCCAAAAGTCAATGGCAGGGTTTACATGATATCTTATTGGTGAAAATGACTAGTTATAAAAACACTTCTATAGAGCAATTCAATGTAGATGCACCTATACTTTTATGTTCAGACTAGCTAAATAAAAAGTGGTCAGTCACATAGTGCTTACAATAATCTGTTACAAAGCCTAATTTAGTAAGAATGTCTAGGAGCTATATATCAACAGTTGATATTACCTTACTATATGAATGTTATCTTCCTGGTTTATTTTTATTTCAGAGCTCTAAATTACATAATTTCAGAATTTGATAAATGATGATGAACATGTGAGAACTGATGTTCCTCAAGGAGTGGAAATATTGAGATTTTCATCAATTCTTAACTATTTTTTTAATATACATGGTTATCCTCTAAAATTGGTGTATATCTTACCATCAGTGGCTTTTTATCAGCACTCTCTTACTCTTAATATCAATAGTGATTTTAAAATGTTTTGATGTATATAAATGTGTTTTGTTACTGATTGAACCTTAGATCATAAAGTTCACACACACACATTGTATAACAGATGGTTATTGATATACATTTTTAAAAATCTCATCAATGTTTATCAGGCATAAAAACTACTTGGCCATTGCTTTACAAAATTGATTTGAAAATTCGTAATTTGTGGGTTTTTTTGCTCTAAAACAAGTTTTACTCTCTCTAGAAAAGAATATTTGTTGATTGGTTCATAAAATAATGTTTAGTTCTCAGGACCACTATCTATGTAAATGTATTTGTGTATTTTTCTTTATCAAATTAATATGAACAAAATACTACTCTAGTATTGCCTGTAAAAAGGAGAGTATGACGGACATCTATGAAACGATATGCTCTAGCAAAAGATATAGCGTATGGGGTCTTAAAGGCTTGAAGGTAAAGAAGCGGCCATCTAGCTGAGAAGCAACAAAGCCCAAATGGAAGAAGCACACCAGCCTGTGTGATTATGAGGTGCCGAAGGGATCAGTTATCAGGCACCAAAGAACAAAAAATCTTATCATTGTGTGCTCACCTCCCCATACAATCGCTGAAGACAAATGGGTGCATAAGCAAATGTGAAGAAAGCTGATGGTGGCCAGCTATCAAAAGATATAGCATCTGGGGTCTTAAAGGCTTGAAGGTAAATAAGCAGCCATCTAGCTCAGAAGCAACAAAGCCCACATGGAAGAAGCACACCAGCCTGTGCGATCATGAGGTATCGAAGGGATCAGGTATAAGGCATCAAAGAACAAAAACAATATCATTGTCAATCAGGGGGAGTACAGGGTGGGGACCCAAAGCCCATCTGTAGGCAACTGCACATTCCTTTCTGGAAGGGACGTGGGAGGAGACAAGCCAGCCAGGGTGCAGTGTAGCAACAATGAAATATACACCTTTCCTCTAGTTCCTAAATGCTTCCTCCTCCCCAACTATCATGATCCCAATTCTCCCTTACAAATCTGGCTAGACCAGAGGATGTACACTGGTACAGATAGGAACTGGAAACACAGGGAATCCAGGGTGGATGATCCCTTCAGGACCAGTGGTGAGAGTGGCGATACCGGGAGGGTGGGATGGAAAGGGGGAACCGATTACAAAGATCTACATGTGACCTCCTCCCTGGGCGACGGACAACAGAAAAATGGGTGAAGGGAGATGTCGGACAGTGTAAGATATGACAAAATAATAATAATTTATAAATTATCAAGGGTTCATGAGGGAGTGGGGATTGGGGAGGGAGGGGGAAGTGAGGAGCTGATGCCAGGGGCTTATGGGGAGAGCAAATGTTTTGAGAATGATGAGGGTAACGAATGTACAAATGTGCTTTACACAACTGATGCATGTATGGATTGTGATAAGAGTTGTATGAGCCCCCAATAAAATAATTTAAAATAATAATAATAAAACAAACAAAAAATAATTTAAAAAAAGAAACTATATACTCTAATTGATTCTGAGTAAAAAGAGTATGCTCTACAGGTTACCATTATGTGAATATTATTTTGAAATAGTGTTTTAAGAAAACATTATTTTAATATTATTTCAATCTGGTAAGACAACATCAATTTACAAGACCTCAATCTATACTATATCAAATCTGAAAAAAAACCCCAGGATTTAGATTACCCTCATTATATTAATATAGAAATACTTATTTAACATCAAACTCAGAGAAAATTGTATTTAAGTATTTGGAAAATTATTTTATACCTGCAGTGGATGCAAATAGGCACGTCTTCATGCTCTTGGTATTTCCTCATTAGGCTTATCATGTCCAGAATAGAATCAAATGATGAAGGAACATCATGGTCTGGCCAATTCACATAATGAAATTGATATAACCTACGAGATTCCTTGACGATAAAGAGAAATTTGACAATTGGGAGAATATATTTACAACATACAGAAAGCCACATACCTCATTTTACTGTCATTTCTAAGATATTGTGTGGTATTTAAAGAGCAACAAATATTAATCGACTCTTTGCTATATGCCAGATACAATTTGAACAACCAGATACTAAACTAAGTGCTTCACATGTAACTATGTATCCCCTAATATAATCCCACGAGAAAGGGGTTTTTAATACTACTCGCATTGTTGGGATAAGGAAATACACACAGAGATTAAATACTAAAGATTAACAGCAAAAATAGGTGCTGCTGTACCCCTCTAAACTAAGGCCTACTTTGGTTAAAATCTGCATTTTAACCATTACACTACCTCATATTTGCTAATCTACTCTATTAATTTGATGAACCGGTTTGCTTAAGCATTGTTAGAACCTATGGTAATTAGATGTCTTATAGAATATTTTAGCTAAAAAGATATCTGTCCACCCTAAACCCTTATTCTAGGTAGTAGTTCTCAAGGTATGGCCTGTGGACCTCCAAGCCCTTTGAGAGTAGGAGCCCCAAAGTTTGAACTTACTTTCCTAATAACACCAACACTAGAGTATGATTTGCCATTTTCAAGCTCACTCTTGCAGAGTGAATGTACAGTAATGTTTTGCCAAGACTCCATGCCTTGTGAGGACATCACTTTCGACAGCTAATGTATGCAAGTGTATTCATGTGATTGAACAGCTTCTCAATTTTCTTCTCAAATATAGCATATACTGAAAGATACAGCCCACACAAACAAAAGCTCTTTGGGCTCCTCAATAATTCTGAAGAATATGAAAAAAGGTATCTTGATATTAAAATGTTTACAGAACCATGGATCTAAGTGTTAGCAGAAAGAACGACTTACAAAATCAATGGCACCCAATAATAGCATTTTAAGTACTTAGAATTTATACTACACTATCTTCATCTAATTTGATACGCATAAAGCTCCAGATGCCAAGGAAACATTACATTCTGATTTTCTTTTTAATTATTTTGCCTACATAAAAAAATTGTATTCTCCTTAACTATGGAAGGTAAATATCATGTTTCTTCTCTTTAAAATCTATTTTTAGAAATGTCTCTAAATGAAAGCTACTTACATTTTGAAATTCAAGTAACAGTGTCCTAATGAAGTAGTCTGTTCTGGCTTGTTCAGTTTCCTAAATAAAAGGAAATACTTTTGAGCAGCTGGGTAGATTCAAACCATCAACCTTTTGTTTAGCAGCAGTTACCTGCTGCATCTCTAGGGCTCCTTAGATATTGTCATATTTCTATCTCAAACGCTCTAATTGTCCAGGAGTCATGTTACTTAGTATTTTTTTTTCCACCAACTTACTTTCGCCCTTTACAGACTATTTTTGTTTGCACTTAAATCGGTAGTAACAAATCCTAAATTGTCTAAAACAACCATAGGACATACAAATTACTTTCCATTCTGAAAGCTTGAAAAGAAAGTTTAGCTTCCTCAGCATTCATCAATCCAAACGCTGAGAAATTGAATCAACTGCTACTATGCAAGTGAAGCTTTTACCAAGTGGTCTTTCCTGTTCTTTCCTCCTCTGTTCTTCGCTGTCAAGCTGCTTGCTATTCTTTTCTCAACTCTTCAACATTTCTAGTTCTTTTGCTCTTCAGTGCTAAGCACTCTGTTTTCATTTGAATGTGACATTAATTATGATTATCTTATTGCCTAACCACACTGCACAGAAGTAGGTTTCCTCAACTGCCCAGGGACCTAATATTGTAGAATCCTTCTGCAATTGGCAAGGGGGGGTGGGGGGAGGGGAGTGCTCCCACACTGAAGCAGAACATGTAGAGGGTATCGGGACAATATTCGATATATACATAAGATGCAGTTGGATTTTGTTTTTTACACTTACCATAGGTGCAAGTCATCTGGGAAAATTTTAGAGTAGTTACTGTATACTAAACCCAAGCACTTCAACTATAAGATACAATTAGTCTTCCAAAAATGGCAATGCATTTAATAAAAGGAGACAATGTAACACAGCTTCAGTCCTTTTCTACATTAGTATAAGAGCACTGGACCTGGGGTACCCACTGGAGGAATTTAGAAGTTATACATACAAGTAACTCATGAACTATGGATATCTGCAATTCACTAATGACAAAATTCTAAAATTTATTTTTCATTTAACCACAATAAAAGTAAAAACAGGTAATTTTAAGATGATGAACTATTTAATTGTCTGAGTGCCCATGAGTCTTTTTAAGTGAAAAAGTGAAATATTATTCTTTCAGGTGATTAAGAAAGTGCTATTATATAGTACCCAAAGCAAGTTTTTGATTCTAAAGTTTGCTTATGTTTTAGTTTCCTGCCCTACACCTTATTTTTCCTTATTTGTTTTCTTTCTTCCTTGTTTTTTTTTTTTTTCACCACCAACATCCTCTTTAATAAAACACAGGAGGTTGGTGGGACGGAAAGGGGGTTGGGGGTGAAATATAACCATTTACAACCACAAAAAACCCTTTGTATGTGGTTGGGCTGGGTGGCAACCCTACTTGTAGATGTCAGAAGCCCGGCTGGTAGGAAGTAGACTTGGGTGAAATGTGGGGGTTGGTTGGTGATGCCATCTTCACCACAGTCCATGTATTCCACCTGCATGGAGATGCTGAGCACCTGGGCCAGCGCAATGATGAGAATGTGGTCGCTCTCCTAACATACAGGCTCTACCTCCTGCTGGCAGAACTCCTTGACAGTCCGGCCGCCCTCGCCCTCGATGAAGTGCTCCAAAAAAGAACTTGCTCTCGCGCTGTAGGAAGCTGGAGGTGAGCAGCTGCAGGTAGATCACCAGGAGGCCGAGGTGCCTTGGTCGTTGAAGGACACCAGCAGGTAGGCCACAAAGGTCTGCTTTTCCACCTGCTCCATCAGGTCCATGAACGTGTGTGTGGAAATCCTCAACTGTGAACTTGGTGAAGACCTGGGGCACCAGCTGCTCTTTGCCAACAAGGCCTTGAACCACAGCAATTCTTTGCTGTCATTCAGCAGCGCCTCCAGGTGGGAGAATCTGAAGCCCGGAAGAAGCAGTTCCCGTGTGGCTGGATCATCCGTATGCACATACTTTTTGTGGGGGTCCTTGATCTTCTGTGGTAGATGTTGTCATCCTCAGCATACTCCTTGTGGAGAAGGACAGCTCCCGCTGCTCCGAGAGCCCTAATGGCTTCAACGTAAGCCAGACAGCTAACACCCTCGGAGTCGCTGTCCAGCGGCTCCTGCTTCTGCTCCTGGGGCTCCAGCGCCACACAATCAACAGCTTCCCCCTTCTTGTTTCTCAATTCATTTCCAGAGACCAGTAAATATTAAGGTATATATTTTAAGTTTCATATTAAAAGTATCTGCCATAAAAATGATCAGGTTGAAGCAAATCATTAATCATTACTTGCAGTTCTCTGCTTTTAATAAAATTACAACAACTCTGATGAGCAGAACTATAAAGTTAACAACATATATTTCAGTCAAAGGTAATTTTTCCATTTATTCAATTTAAAACACAACAATTACCGAATAAATCACTAAAGCACTATTACTCCTATACACCTACTTTGTATCAATTGATCTAAAACTAGAAAATTGTGCACATGCAAAATCATCCCCAAAGCTTCTAAAGGTAAATGTTTTCAAAAACAAGTACTTCCTTATGCTATTGTTTTTATCTTAAAACCAATGGATGGATTTATGGTTTATGATGATAGATAATAGTTGTCTGAGCCCCCCATAAAAATATTTTTTAAAATGCAGGTTAACATGAAAGCACTGAATGCTGGGTGCATGTAAATCAGTTCCATACTGCATTATAATTTTATTATTTATCAATCTAGCATGCCAATAAATAAATAATATATATAATAGGTACTTACACAAGAAATTTTAAATGGTGCAAATGTTATAGGGTCTTCTCCATACAAAGGCCAGTAGCGCTCACATTTTTTCTATTGTCCAAACAGAGGTTAGTGAGTAATCCATATGATAGTATTTCTGAAACTCTTATAAAGAACAATACTAAAAATAATGGCTGGCACATCGAGATCCATTTAGTACCGTGTTCCTAGATATTATGGGCAAGTTACAATGCTTATAACATGACAACCTCTACAATATTTGCCTGAAATCTCATTAAATGTCAAATCTATGACAGAGCGGAAATAGAACTCTACTGGGTGTCAGAACATTTTTATAAATATTAATTTTACTGTTTTATAGACATACAGTTTCTTTACATGTAAAATCAGCAGTAGTCAACCTTATCTCACAGGGTTGTTTGGTATTATTTCAAATATGCTATTGGTATTCAACCATGAAATTATAGAAAGTGTAATCAGTTTTCTCTTGCCATTTTAAAGAGAAATAGAAAATACCAGAGCATTCTATTTTTATTACTCTCTAATATTAAGCCCAACCATTGGAGAATGAGATAAATAAGTGATAAGCTCAGTTTTCATATATGATAGAGCAATTCTGCTAAAAGATACTAAGAAATGATATACTTTTTATTCAGACTATATGAAAGCCTATATATAACCATCCTGGTTAAACTAACCTGACAGTGGAAAATGAATAAATTCAGACATTTCTAACTAAATTTTCATAGGATGAGCTATGTTGTTATTAGGTACTGTGAAGTCAATTTTGACTCAGACTAACCCTATGTGACAAAGTAGAACTGCCCCATAGAGATTTCTAGGCTGTAATCTTTACAAAATCAGATCGCCAAATCTTTTTCCCAAAGATCTTGGATAGGTTTGAAGTACAACCTTTGGGTTAGCAGATAAGGGTTAAACTATGGTGGCATCATATACCTTATACAAATAGAGTTTATAAGAACACCAAACAATAAAAAAATAAACAACTCATTGTGTCAATTCTAACCCAGCAACCCCTTATATTCTAGAACTTCACATATGGTGCTATGTTTTGCTTTTTCTCTTACTAGATTTAAAAAATGTTCATTAGAATTCTTTAAAATTTTTAGTTTAAATAAAAAACAAGATTAACATAGGCTGACTTCATGTGAATCACATGATTTGATGATCTTCTAAGTTTGATTTTCGTTTCATATTTATAGAAAACCACTGATATTTCATTTAAAACATTTTTGTTAAGTATATTACTATATCTTTATAATGCTACAGGTGAGATAATAGATTAACGAACTAAATTTACTTTTATAATGTTAAAAATCAAAAGACAGTACGAATTAACAAGAAATGAAGTGGTATTTACAATAAGAATATCTAAACTGTAAATTGATAGTAATTATTCAAAATTTTAATCTAATTTTTTCATATGCTCAATTTCATTACTATTTTTAAGCACCTCTCTAGCTTTAGTCCATAAATACTAATGCTTATTCTACTTATAGTACAATTGGAAACATGAAAACTACTGAATAACAATTCAGACTATTATTTTAAGTACATGTTAAAAATGTACTAATGTAGAAAAAAAGTACAGTGAACCCTCGCCCCTTGGCGCTTCGACTTCCGCAGCTTCACTCTATCGTGGTTTTTGTGTAACAGCACATGCTCTGTCATTACTGCCACTGATTGGCTCATACTGTACACGCTTGATGCCATAAATAATATAATAAATAATAAATGATAATTGTAACGTCCAAAATGTTTTACTGTATTTTCCCTTTTTCGTTTAATAAATTGGGTAATACGAGTGTAATGGTGACTAAAGGGTGTTTTTTCATGTCCTCTATGCTCTAACTACGAAAATATTTGATTTACAAATAAGGAATCCTACTTCGCGGAATTTCATTTATCACGGTAGGGTCTAGAACCGATTAACCACGATAAACGAGGGTTCACTGTATGTGCTTTAGAGATCATTTTGTTCTTTATATCAAATAAAATAACAGCAGAACACAAAAATAGAAAGGAAATAAATAGGCTAGATTGTCTCAGGATATAATAAAAGTTTTGGAATACACATCCCTAGAACTGAGGTAATACAAGGGACACACTATAGTTATTTTGAAAAGGTTAATAGATATACATACCCTTCCCATCTCGAATTCTCGGCAGGCCATAACAATGATCTGCGGGGGGTAGGGTGGGGGTGGGGAGAAGTATAGAAATTGGATATAGAATATGTCAGGTAAATATATAGCCACTGCCTATATTCTACTAACATTTCACTATACTTGTTTTGTCACTTATTTTCTTTCACCCAACTGTTGACATTTTAAAATTTCATTTCAACAAAGTGCATGCTCTTTTCTAATATGTCAGCATATATAACATCTAAAATTTAGTTTTTTAATGTTGCTAATAGTTCTCGTTCCTTCAGGTAAGATTTTGTATACAGTGAAATAGAAATATTAACTGTCCATTCTCCAGCTTTAGACAAGTGCATACATCTACGCAACTCAAACTCATCAATATGTAGGGTGTTACCATCATCTAGAACAGTGGTTCTTAATCTGTGGGCCGTAGTGGTTCTCAACCTGTGGGCTGTGACCCCTTTGGTAGTCAAATGACCCTTTCAACAGGGGTCCCCGATTCATAACAGTAGCAAAATTACAGTTATGAAGTAACAATGAAAATAATTTTATTTTCGTCACCACAGAATGAGGAACTGTATTAAAAGGTCGTGGCATTAGGAAGGTTGAGAAGCACTGATCTAGAAAATCCCTTTATGCCTTTCCTCAGTCAATCTCCAACTACATTTGCGTTAAGTCAAAAAAGCAGCAAATACTGACTGAGATTTTGCCCATTTTACTAACCTTTCATTGGCTAACTACAGCCATGTTTTAGAATAATTCTGTTTCAATAGAAAAGGCTTATTACTATGTTCATAACAAATGAATGAGGACTCTCCATTATAGATTTCTCACATGCACAAAACCAAAACCATCACTGGAGTAAATACTTGGGCTTCCAGGTGATAAAGAGCAACACAGTGGGATTTTTGTAGCATCCTATGCCATTTCTTCCCCTGCTTCCAAATATAAGGGGGAGGGAGTTCCCTTCACTTCAAAAGAGTAACAAGGAACATAGATGTTAATGTTTTGAGATTCTTCTAACCCAGCGGTTCTCAACATGTGGGTCGCACAACCCTTTCACAGGGGTCGCCCGATTCATAACAGTAGCAAAATTACGGTTATGAAGTAGCAACGAAAATAATTTTATGGTTGCAGGGGGTCACCACAATATGAGGAACTGGATTAAAGAGTCGCAGCATTAGGAAGGTTGAGAACCAATGTTTGAACCAAATGAGTTTTTAAGGGAGAGAGATGTCTTCAAATTCTCTTAAAATTTTTGTAATAATTTATACGGCATGTTTTTGAAGAAGGCTTTAAAAGAATCAATGACTCAGAAAAGGTTAAGAACATGAATGACTTTATATAGCATTTTATTGGCCTATTAAAGTACTCCTACTGTTGGGTTTCATAAATTATTTGGTAGCTATCTTAATAGTTGCCGACTAAGCCTCTGGTATATCCCCCCTGGCCCCAGGAGAGGGACTGGAATAGCTTTACCATCTGACAGATTAATGTAAACTTGATTATGCTGATCGAACAATGGTGTAATATGACACTTGTTCAGATGATCTCCCTCTTGACCCAACCTGAATTTGCTCTAGGTTCAAATACTTCTTGCTTGTTCCACAACAAAAATTTCTTCTCTACCTTTTTAAATATTGTTGGTGGTCTTCTCTTTCTTACTCTATTTTATTTTATTTATTTTTAGTTTTCTGATCTTTTATATAGTTTTATTATTTTAATTTCCTGATCTTTAAATAGTTTTGGAATTAAATCATTTTACTTTTAATTTCATTAGATATATATTTTAAACGATCATTTTATTTGAGGCTCTTACAGCTCTTATAATAATCTATACATCAATTGTATCAACCATATTTATACATATGTTGCATAATTATTTCCACAACATTTACTTTATATTGAGCCCTTGGTTATCAGCTCTTTTTACTCTCCCACACCCCCTCCCACCCTTATGACCCCTTGATAAATTATAAATTATTATTTTCATACGTTAAGCCAACCGCTCTCTCCCTTATTTTTATCTTTATATTATTATTTTCCTCTTTCTGGTTCAGTTTGGTTTTTATTTGTGTTAGATTTTTCTGTTTGTATTACATTTCCCAGTTTATGAAGCACAGGAGGAGTGGATGCATACAGAAAATAACTGATGGAGTGGTTTATTGTGGCAGGCGAGGGGTGGGGATGGGGACTGGGGAGCAAACAAGGAACGTGGGAGGGGGAGGGGGCACTAGAATGGATTGTGATGATGTTTATGCAACTCTTTTTAAAAGCAATTTAACAATGAAGTATATGATATGTATTATATCAAGAAAACTACTGGGGGAAAAAGCCAAATGTGACTAATGGTTACCTTGGGTAAAGGACGAAGAATTTTTGCTTTGAAGGAATTTAGTTGAAGTTAGTGGTGATAGAATAATTTGGGAAAGGATATCAATAGCGATTGTACCACACAAAAAGTACAATCAATGGCACTAAATTATACATGTAGAAGTTGTTGAATTGGAGTGTTTTGTTGTGCATATTTTTGCCACAATAAAAAAGTTATATGAATAACAATGAGAACAAGAAAGAAGACAATGTTCTAAAATTGTGGTAATGACTGTACAGCTCTTCTTCATATACTTGAACTACTGAATTGTGTGGTATGTGGATGGAGTGCCAATAAAACTGTTAAGAAAATGATATTTTCAGAAAGGCATGATTTAAAAATGGCAGTTTTTTTTTTTAATTCCTTGAAATGTCTTGGTTTCTATTTTCAAAAGACGCTTCTAATTCAACTACAGAGCTCCTCTGGCATTAGTATTTTTTGTGATTTTCTTAAATGTTTTTATATTTATTTTTTATGAATAAGTAATTGCTGTTATACTCTGTGTAGGTGCCTAGCAATCTTGATGTGTATGAGCAGCATTCTCCTGTTAGGAATTATTGATTATAAAATGTTTTGCTGTGAAGAAAAAAAGTTGCTAATTTAGGACTAGTTTAAGTATTATAATACCTCCTTTTAAAGTGTCTTTTGACTAGTTTATAAGAATTTTTTTTTTTTAGCTTATGAGAATTTAACGAGACATCTGAGAAATTTGTCCCTATACATTAATAAACATTACCTATGCTTAGTAGTAAACATTACCCGACTGGTAAATTTGTCTTTAGTAAACATTAACCTATGATTAGACATATTATTATGACTATAAATTCCTTTTATTATTTACTTCAGCTCAGTATCCTACATGCAATATATATGCCTTCTCAAAAGAAAATTACTTACTACAACATTGTACTCCCATATCATCCTCCAAAAGTCGATTACTGTATTTGCTAAAGGTCCTTGGGTTGCCACATATGCTTTTGGCCCATAGACACCCTAAAATAATTAGAAGCAAATTTTAAATTTATTATAATCAGCAAAAATATCTCTTCACCTAAATTTGAAACTTCAAAATTTACTAGTAATACTGCTTTCCTCCAAAGTATTTCTAAGTCATTTCTTTTATAGTTCATAAAAACATGCCAAACTATATTAATTTATTAAACAAGATTCATGCACTTGGTAATTAAAGACCAAAGTGTACTCATTTAAAAATTATTGTTTACTTAAGAATTTATTAAAACAAAAGCCTCAAAACCTAGTCAATAAAGTTAAAGATAGCAGAAACATCAAATTATGTTTTGCTTTTAAAAACAATATTAAAACTACTTAATGATTCTTTCTTGTATTTGTCACTGAATGGATTCCAACTCAAAATGACCCTATAACCTCTCCCACCCCAAATCCAAGCCCAATGTCATGGAATTGATTCAGATTCATTGAGTACAGGTCAGTACATAACTCTGTAAGTTCTCCAATCATGTAAGTCTTTTAAAAAATAGACTTTCACATGTTTCTCCCACAGAGTGTGGGTTTGAAGCACTAACTCTTTGGTTTGTGGCTGAGGCACTTCAAGTATTGTGACTTCCGGGTTCCTAGTGACTCTTATTATCTATTCAATTATTCATTTAGTAGATTCCTAATAGTAAATCTGAAAATATATTATAAACAGGATAGCTGACTTAAACACTAAACCAGATGTGTTAAAATTAGAAATTTTAACAATTGCCTTATGAAGTATAAACATCTGAAATATCAAACCACTTACTTAGTAACTTTTATCTCATTAGTTTTTTAGGAATTAAAACAAAATTGAATTTATTGAAAAATTTTTATTTTAAACTATTAGATGTCGACAGAGATAATACCAATACCATAATGATTACTAACACCCCAATATTTTTGTCTTCAACATTTGGTATAAATATAACATATAAAATAACTCTATAAATGTATCATTATATATATCAAATAACTGACATTTATTTTCAAAAATTCACACAACACAAGGTAAAGTCTCATACTTAACTCAGCCAAGGGGCATTTTACATCTGCCTCTGTGTTCCATGTTAATTCTACAAGAATCTGACTGAATCTAACCAGAGTATGCCAGCAAATGTTACCCAAACAAAAACTACCTTAATTTGGCCTTTGGGATGTAACCTTGAAATATAAATATAGTTGCCCAAAGTTTTAAATCAGTGTTTATCATTCAAACCAATATTACCTAGTAACTCCAAATCCTGATAAATTATTCAAAAGAACAAGGATGGTCACCTTCAATATTACCATGGAGGAAAGTTAGAAACTTTTCAACAGTAGGGAATTAACATATTCATTTGTGTACATAAATGAAACATTATATCAGCAAAAAGTAAAGTTTTTAAGCCCTCTCAACATAAATGAAGAAACAAAATAGAACCCTTTTTCTCTATAATCATAAAACTGAACAAAAACGCTACATATATAGATTCAGCAGAATGAAAGCACAGGAAAATTATGAACAAGGGCAGTGATTGTTTATTATTTCATTTGCTGTTGACATAATGTTTGAACAATAGAAAAAAGCTTTAACATGACTCGCATGCAGAAAGGCACTGAATATGTCAGGGAAACACCATGTAAAATTACCATACCTTAATAAAATTTGCATTGATATAGTCTGAATCTTGAGAAGGAGTCTTTAAAGTCAATTTAACTCTGCTGTGATCAACTACAAGAGAAAAAATATTTTCATAAATGTGTTCCTACTGGCAGACAGATGTTTTTTCATGAAGCATAAGGTTAGAGAAATAACTAAAAATGTAATATTTAGTTTAAAAAGTAATTAGTTACAATAGGTTCTAGTTAATAGCAGGGAAATATCTAATATCATACTAACAGGAAATAGACCTTTTAAAAAACCGATGATACAAGGAAAGACTAATTATAGGGGCTTTGTCAGAGTCCCCATGTCATCTTCAATAACAAAGATCTGAGAAGCCAAATGAAACAGATGCAGGTGACAATTCTTGAACCCTGAGCAGCAATGGGGAAGAACAAAGAATGGACTCAAAGAGTGACTGTAAGAAGAAATTGCAAGAACAGCAAGGTGCTCACTGTGGTCCTCTTGAGACAAAGTCAGCAGTGACCACAAGTGTGGAGCACAGGTAGGCAATTCCACAGCATCCTTCAAGGCAAACAAAGAATGCAGCACACTCGGAGGGCACAAGAACCTGGCTATCCACAGATGAGGGAGGGAGCCAGGATCTGGAGTCAGCTATATTCAGGAGCAGTAAACCCTGACTGGGAGCCCTGTTGGCATCTAGTGGTCACTGTTGGGCTCCATGGGAGAAAGACAGGACTTTCTACTCCAGTGAAAAGGTACAGTGTCAGAATCTCACAAGGGCACTTCTACCCTGGCCTTATACAGGGGCTGTGAGAGGGAATCGACCTGACCACTCAGTGTTTGGTTTTTGGTGAGTCACTGGGTGGCTCACACAAAAAAACAGATTCACAGACTATCAATAGGTGGTCCCTCATCCAGCCAGATACCAGAGCAACGAGCCCCGCCCCCCCCCCCCCACTTCCTTAGTCAGGGGCAAGAATAGATCTCATTCTTTTTAATGCTTCAAAGGAATTCAATTGTATGAATGTTTCTTTCTTTGTCCAACTCGTTACCTTATTGCTACTTGGGGGAAATGAAGTTCCAGGACTTTCTTTTGAGGAAACCAGGCGGACTCCTACCTTCAACATTTCTGTTTGCTGCGGTTAACTCCGCATCCCCAGACTCCTTCATGACCAGCACAGCCACAATAAAAGGTCCTAAAGGAGGAATTGCTAATTGCCTTGAGATACACAGGTGCCCTGAGGGCTTATCAGGTTACCCTTTGGGCTGCTAATCACAAGGTCAGCTGTTTGAAACCGCCAGCCACTCCATGGAAGAATGAGGCTTTCCGCTCCAGTAAACAGTTACAGCTTGGAAACCCACCAGGTCCTGCCTACAGGATCATTATGAATCAGAGTCAGAATTGACTTGATGGCACTGAATTTTTATAAGTTTGTACCACTTTTACAAGGACAAGGTTTGGCAATACAGTGCTCGGGTTTGATCACATCTTTAATAACTGACAGTGTAAAACAGGAAAGGATCTTGTTTTTATTTGCATTTCTTGAATTATACAAATGCTTGTATGTTTTTCTCATATTTTGTTATTTTTAATTTCATTTTCCATAACTTATTTATAATCTGTATCGATTTTTCTGTTTCATTTTTCCTACTGATTGATATGAAATATATGCATAGGGAAAATCAGCCTTTGTCATATGTAGTACAAATAGGTTTTCCATTCGGTGATTTTTTTTTTTTAAACCATTTTACTTGGAACTAATTTTATATTTACAAAAAATTTACAAGAATAGTACAGAGTTTCCAAACACTCTCATTCAGCATCGTTTAAGTTATTATTTTACTTAACTATCACAAACTTACTAAACCCAGAAAACTAGCATTGTCCCAGTAGTAACTGGATTAAAAAAAAAAAAAACACAACAAAAACTGACTGCCATTGAGTCAATACTGGCTCATAGGGACCCTATGGGTTTCCGAGACTGAACCTGTTCTCAGGGGTAAAATGCCCAGTCTTTCTCCAGAGGAGTGCTGGTGGTTCTGAACTGCCAGCCTAAGCACAGCAGCCCAATGCATAACCACTGCACCACCAGAATTCCCTGTTGAACTATACAGACCTTATTAAAAATTCCCAGTTTCTTTCCTTTCTTTCTAGAATTGTATGTTTTTTTACCAGCTCCTTTGTCTAATTTTTTCTCATGCTTGGCTTAAAATGATACATTTACAAGAATATCACCAAAAATAATTACCATATATACTAGTGTATAAGCTGAGTTTCCCAGCACATTTTTAATGCAGTTTTTGTGGTAAAATTAGGTGCCTCGGCTGATATTCAGGCCGGCTTATACTCGAGTATACATGGTATGTTGGGTATTTCATCAATGTATCATCAGTAGATACATGGAGTCCATTAGTTTTCTTACTTGTGATATTAACGTTGGTCTAATATGATATCCACCACTGCAGTTACTATTTTTGCCTTTGTAGTTGTAAGTATCTTGGAAGACCTACTTTGAGACTATGATGAAATCTTTCTTTTCAAACATCCATCCACTAATGGTATTATCGACTGTGATATCCTGCCTATAATGATCGCTGCAGTAATTGTTTAGTTGACATTTTTCTATTTCCCGTATCTTCTACATTTATTAATTAGAATTCTATTGCATAAGGAAGACTTGTCCCTTTCTTCATTTATGCATTTGTCTATTCGATTATTTGCAACAGTATGGCCTCATGGATATATATTTATTGCATGGATTATTATCCAATAAAATGTAATCCATACTGCAGACTGTAGTCTCCAGTTAATTATCCATCCATCCCATCCACCCGTCCCAGCTGTTCCATGAGAGAAGTCTGTTTCCTAAAACTATAGCCTTGAAAATCCTGCTCTACTCTGTCCTATAAAGTAACTACAGCACACAACAACATCTATTTACATATCTAATAAAATTACTTCAGGCTGATGCATTTGTTTGTTTTTAACTGTAGTTTGAATGAAAGTTTACAGAGTGGGAGCGGGGAGGGAGGGAGGGGAAAAATGAGGAGCTGATATTAAGAGCTCAAGTAGAAAGCAAATGTTTTGAGAATGATGATGGCAACAAATGTACAAATGTGCTTGACATACAATGGATGGATGTACGGATTGTGATTAAGAGTTGTACGAGTCCCCAATAAAATGACTTAAAAAAAGAAAGTTTACAGAGCAAATTAGTTGTCTTCCCTGTTTTAACATTAGTTGCAAATTCCTCAATGTAAGCTCACTCTTCCCACTTCCTCCTTAGGCGCGCTGGTTCATTTTTTTCTGGTCTTGAGTTCTGAGCTACAGGGTCAAAAGCTGCCCTTTTGGTCTCAGATGGTTGACTGCTCTGAAGAGTGCATTCCTTGTGGATGTTATTGTTTACTTTATGCACCTACGTGTTGTTGGACTGAGAAGTGACCCTGGGAGTGAGTTTGGGTCCAAGTTTGAGGAATGTGTTAAGGGCCACAGTTTTGGAGGCTCTAACAGTCTCTATCAGGCTAGTAAGTCTGGTCTGTTTTATGATTTTTTAATTTTTTTCATTTTTCTCGCATTCTGGCTAGGACCTTCTGTGGTCCTGATCACAGTGATAGCTTTGATTTTAATTCAACACCACGGAGTTTGCTCTAGCCTCCACCTTCATGTACTCTGTAATCTTTTCCTCAAAAGTTTAGTTGTTTATGCCCCCAACTTTAACAGTATGGTTCCATCACACATTCACAATACAATTAAATCCATCTGTTACAGTTTATGTAAATTGGGTTAACTGTTTATTGGGGGTGGGGGTGTCAGAGTTATAACTATACAAAAATACATACAAGCACATCATGGAGGTAGGTATTGCTAGTTAGATTCCAGACCTCTGCAATAAATCAAATCACACAATAAATAAAGCAAGTCACACAAATTGTTTTGGTGTCCCAGTGCATATACAAGTTATGTTTACACTATACTATAGCCTCTTAAATGTAAAACAACACTGTGGAAAAGTTTGAAATAGTGTGAGAATTACCAAAATGTGATACAGAGACACACGAACATGCACTGCTAGTAAAATGGCACTGATGACTGTTCAGGGTAGGGTTGCCACCCACCTTCTATTTGTAAAAGTTAGAAACAAAAGCACAATAAAGCAAAGGTCAATAAAACGAGGTATGCTGTACTTAGATGTCTAACTGTCCACTCTCTCCACACCCCTGCTACACTGGATCCTATTCTTTCCTTCTTTACGCTATTTCCCACTCCAGTCCTCCAGTTTCTGGTCATACGCTTTGTGTATCTTTCCCTTCTTTACTTCCAGGTTTTATATTTTTGCTTAGAAAGACGACTCATTCCAAGATTTAAAATTGCCTTTTAAAGAAATGTGATCTGTCCTCTTCTAATTATTTTTACTTAAAATTCTTGAAGCATGTGGAGCTTATTTCTTGTATAAGTGAGGTACGCCTTTACTGTTTTGTCTACCCAGCGTATATCTTCCCACAGGAAAATAACCTTTTCCATCCTTTGTAGTTTTGGAAAAGTCACATGCCTATCTGTATAGCCACACAGTCTACAATGACTTGCCAAGAGGTAGGCATATGATGGAAGCAGGGCGTGGGTCATCCCATTCGTTTTGTATATAGGCTTGGAGAGTGAAATGTGCTCTCTGTGTGCTCTGGGCTCAAAAGCTCCAAGGGCCAAGCAAAAGTTTCTTAGCCACTATGCGAAATAATTCCTCTGAGAATAAAGTCAAGCACAGGAAGCAACCCTGAGAAAATGGAAACATAAACTTCCTGTGAAAATGTTCTACTCACGTAATCTAGAGGTAGACACATCTTTTCAATGCAATTGGAAGGATGACAGAAAAACAGAGTTGAAAGTGCACCAGGGGAGGGTTCAGGGGCTACTTTCTAATTCAAGGACAACAGATATTAAGACAATCAAAATATAAGATGAAAACATAGAAATGACAAGAATCATTCATGATAAAGTTTAATGTATTTACTCCGGATCAACTTTTATACACCAAATCCAAGTTCTGCTGATGTTCAACTGAGGAGATTCTTCTCTGGCAATCTGTACAGGGACATGTAAAACTACTAACTTCCTGGTAAAACTACTACTCTCCTCACCATGTTTCCGTGGAAAGACACGTTCATATGTTGCAAGGTTCTGATTTTTGGTCCACTCCATCTTCACCTCCCTCACTTTTTTAGGGCAGGAAGTACACCTAAAAAACCCACCATGCTTCTGGTATATGACTGTGGAATAGTCAGTAGGTAGAATAACGATGGTTAGCTAATTCTAAGAATATTTATCCACCGTATTTACCAGAATTTGGGGAACCATATTAATTACCACATTCTTATGGCACATTATTCTTCATTCAAAGTTTCTTAAAAGCAAACATTTTCTTAGTTGTTGGGTTATCACTGGGTCTTTGGTCAGTGTTTGTGTAGATTGTGAAGCCAAATGATTTATATATTCCTTCCACCTTAGGCTTCCAAATTATAGTTGAGGTTTGTACAAAGTTACCTAAATACAAACATTTTCTTTTTTCCCCCCTTACCTATAATAGGAAATTTAAACACACACACACACACACACACACACACACACACACACACACACTCACTCACTCACTCACACGAATAGTATAATGAATCTCTGTAAGCCCATTTCCAACATTCAACAATTAACATACTTAGTCTTATTTCATCTATCCCAAATGGCTATAGGGTAGGAAAAGTAAACCAACAAATTTTAAAGTTTTTCAGAGAATACGTTAAAATAGACTATTTCTGAGTCTCATATCCTGCAGTTAAGTTTGGTTCAGGTAAATTCAAGTGGTCACACATATGTTATAAAACCTAAATTATAGTCTACAAGCACAGGCAAGTGTGGGGATCCTGCTTTAGACTATATTGTTGATCATTTAAACTACAGTATTACACTACTTATGCAAGTAACACATATCATCATTTATATTTTTACATCCTTTATTGGTACTTGTATCAGGCACAAAAATGACAAGAAAAAATGTCTAAAAATATCAAGAGTTGAAAACAATACACCTTCAGTCTTGCTAGCTGTCTCAATAGCCCAACTCTAAATAGATAAGTCTAATATTGGCTACACAAGGTACTCTTTAGCACAGGAACACACACACACACACACACACACACACACACGATGCTCATGAAACATGGAGAAAAATCTGCTGACTAAATACTAGTTATGGAAAAATTAATATGACCCTCTTAAGTAACATCAGAATAGTCAATGTACCTGATCACCACATAAATACTCAGTTTTAGAAATCTCAACAGAATGTAGGCCATCTCTAAGACAAGGGTACTTAAATGATTTCTGAATTTTTGGATTGGCCTCAATATTCTATCATAAAATAAACTAAAGCTCCTTGGTAGGTGCAGAATAACTTAACTCTTCTTTGAGCACTGATGAAACTATTGTAGTTTTAACAGACTGTTTCTTAAAAGATTCTCTAAATTCTATTTAAAGACGGTCATATCCAGATTGAGACAATGGTAGATTAAAAGGTTACATCAGTTTTAGAAAGAGCATTAATAGGAAACAGAAGCCACAATTCTACTTTTAAGTACAGGAGGGCGAAAGTAAAAGAAAGTTGGCTTAGTCAGCTATGAGAAAAGAATAACATGGAAAGAATTTTTTTAAGCCAGAATATATTTTGAAGGTAAACAAGAACACTGGAAGGAGAACAGTGGAAGGAGAAGGACTAACAATATAAAAAAGGCAGATAATTTGTCATCTAACTGGACTGTAATTAGATTAACACAATGCCATCTACCAAAATAAGGAGATTTCCCTTAGAAATATTTTATTTCTTATTTTATGTATATATAGACATATAAGGTGGCCTAAAAAGTTAGGGAAAAATTGTATTTTTCATGAACTTTTTGAAGTTCCCCTTATTTAAATGCTTACAAATTGCATAAGCCTTACAGAAGAATGAGAGAAAAATATTCTAAGATAGTCAATTCAAACCTCCAGTATTTTTACTATCAGAAAATTTGATGGAATGAACATGTTAGCAATAACAATTTAAAATTATCATTTTACTTATAACAAAAAATGTGAAGAAACAAGTCTGACATCACTTTCGTCTTCAGAAACAATGCAAAAAATAATGACAATGGAGCCGCATCTTGGATGTATTGGGCCTGGGGTCAAACTAGAATTCCCTAAAGAGAACTTTCAACATCAAAAGTGAAATAACGATATTTTCACATATTCAAAAACTGAACAGCAGCAGCAGCCCAACATGACAAAAGTGTTAAGGGAGTCATCCAGGCAAAAGGACAACGGTCCCAGGTGGAAACATGGATCTACATTTAAACAACAGCACAAAGGTCAGGAAGGAAGGGGACAGTTTTAAGATTCTTATACTATGCTGCAAGTGAGATAGCATCACTTGAAAACAGATTACAATAAGTTAAGGATGTATACTATTTGCCCTAAAGCAACCACTGAAAAATTAAAAGGTGAACTTCATTATTTAAAAACTTTTGGTGGCGATGGCGGGAGGGTGGAGGGAAGGAGAGGGAGAAAGGGGGAACAGAGGACAAGGTCTACATGTGGCCTCCTCCCTGGGGGACGGACAGCGTGAGGGAGAGGGAGACGTGGGATGGGGTAAGATATGATAAAATAAGAATAAATTATAAATTATCGGGGGTTGGGGGGGAGAGGGGGGAAATGAGCTGACACCAGGGGCTCAAGGGGAAAGTGGGTGTCGTAAGAATGATGAAGTCAACATATGTACTAAAGTGCTGGACACAGATGACGTATGTACAGATTGTGATGAGTTGTATGAGCCACTAATAAAATGATTATTTTAAAAAAAAACAACTTTTGTGCATCTTAGTGTCCAAGAAAGTGAAGAAACATAGAATGGGAGAAAATATTTGGAAATTATATAACCGCAAGTGTTAAACTTCTAGAATATATAAGAAAGTCTGAGAGTCTGCAGGTGGTCCAGACAGGTAAGTGCTTGATTACAAACCAAAAGGTTGGTGGTTTGACCCACTCAGAAGCACCTTTGGAAGACAGGCCAGGCGGTGTGCTTCTCAAAGGCCACAGCCATAGGAAATGGATGGAGCAAGCAGTTCTAGTCTGCACACACTTGAATTGAAATCAACAACACCCTTAGCAACACAATAAAGTCCTGCAACCAACAAAAAGATAAACAACCTAATTTATAAATGGGCAAATAACTTTAATAGACATTTCTCCAAAGACACACAAAATGATGAAAGAGCATATGAAAAGATGCACAGGATCATCAGTAATTTGGCAAAAGCAAAATTAAACGATAACCATTTCAGGTCCACTAACGGAGTGCCATCATGACAACTCCAGAGTAAACTGTTCCCCACAGAGTTTAAAAGGGATAACTTTTACAAGATTGCCAGGCCTTTTCTGCAAAGTGCTTTCACTTACCACTCAGGGACTCCCACAAAACAAGTGAAATTAACAACTGTTGGCGAAGTTGTAGAAAAACTGGAAACCTCATGCTGGCAGGGTAGGAAGGCAAAATTCTGTAGCCACTGTGGAGAACAATCTGGCAGTTCTCAAACAGTTAAGCACAGAATTATCACATGACCCAGGCAATTACTCTATGACCTGAAGGAATTTAAGAAGGAACTCGGACACTTACACAGCAATTGTTCATAGAAATGTTGTTCATAAAAACCCAAAGGAAAAAAACAACACGTGTGCATTAACAGATGGATAAACAAATGGAGGAATGTACAGACATAGAGTGGAATATTATTTGCCCATAAACAGTAATGAAGTTCTAATGCATGCCATAAAATGGGTGAACCTTGATAATGATCATCCTAAATAAAATAAGCCAAAAGCAAAGGGCAAATGTTACATGATTCTATACACATGAAATATTTAGAAGAGTCAAATTCTTAGAAACATGATCACAGGGAGGTTACCAGAGGCTGAGGAGAGAAAGGCAACAAAGTACTGTCTAACAGATAGATAAAGGCTTTCTGTTTCGGAGTGGTGAAAAGTTTTTGGAAGTAGTACTGATAATTTTACATGACGAAAGCAACTATGGTCAAAATGAAAAATATAAATGATTTGTAATATGACCTCTTCTCAAAGCAACCTATTAATTTGTTTGCTAAAAATATAAAGTCACAGGAGACTCAAACAAGGACCATTTCAAAAGTACAGACTTTAGGAATGAAGAGTTGAGGGAATGGAGGTATGGAATATACATTACAAGACAGCAAGCATGAGGTAAAGATTTTATTTTATAAACTACGGATAGATACACTTTAAGAACACTTTCAGAGTTAAAGGCAGTTTGCCAACAAATTATGCTATCAAGAATATAATTGTAATATTAGAATTATACCCTCAAAGAAACACATTTGGACTGTTTAACTTCTTTGAGATTTCCCAAGTTATCACTTGCATTTTTTGTATTTAAAAGCAATTTAGCATTAAAATAATTCTGATATATACATATGTATATATGTATGTATATATATATCACCACAACCATCACCAAAAACTACCAGAAGAAAAACAAGAAGCACAATTACATACTATTATCTTAAAGTACACCTTGACGGAGAGGTTAATTGCTACTTCCTTAACAATCAAACTCATTAGGAAGAATAAGCTGGTTAGGTTACCAAAGGCTAACAATTAGCATTTCTATTTATTCTAGCAAGGGCATTTCAAACTTACATGGTAGAATGTCCTTGTATCTATTCTTTTTAACATTTTCTTCTTTTTCTCCAGTGACTGTGGGATAAATCTTTTCTGTTCTATATTTGGTAGACAATCTTCTTAAACGCTTTAAAAAAAAAAAAGAGGGAGGAATGGGTTAAGAAAAACTCTGATACTTTCAAAATTTTTTTTACATCATTTTATTGGGGGCTCATACAACTCTTATCACAATCCAATCCATACATACATCCACTGTGTCAAGCACGTTTGTACATTTGTTGCCATCATCATTCTCAAAACATCTGCTTTCTACTTGAGCCCTAAGTATCAGGTCCTCATTTTTCCCCTCCCTCGCTGCTCCTCCTCCTTCCCTCAGGGAGGAGGTTATACATAGATCCTTGTAATTGGCTCCCCCTTCCTACCCCACCTTCCCTCCACCCTCCCAGTATCGCCACTCTCACCACTGGTCCTGAAGGGTTCATCTGTCCTGGATACCCTGTGTTTCCAGTTGCTTCTGTACCAGTGTACATCCTCTGGTCTAGCCAGATTTGTAAGGGAGAATTGGGATCATGATAGTGGGGGAGGAGGAAGCATTTAAGAACTAGAGGAAAGTTCTATGTTTCATTGCTGCTACACTGCACCCTGACTGGCTCATCTCCTCCCTGTGACTCTTCTGTGTAAGGGGATGTCCAGCTGCTTACAGATGGGTCTTGAGCATCCAATCTGCACTCCCCCTCATTCTCAATGATATGATTTTTTTGTTCTTTGATGCCTGATACCTGATCCCATTGACACCTTGTGATTGCACAGGCTGGTGTGCTTCTTCCATATGGGCTTTGTTGCTTCTGAGCTAGATGGCCACTTGTTTATTTTCAAGCTTTTAAGACCCCAGATGCTATATCTTTTGATAGCTGGGCACCATCAGCTTTCTTCACCACATTTGCTTATGCATCAGCTTTGTCTTCGGTCATCGTATTGGGAAGGTGAGCATCATGGAATGCCAGTTTAAAAGAACAAAATATTCTTGCATGAGGGAGTATTTGAGTGGAGGCCCAATGTCCATCTGCTACCTTACTTAAGACTAAACCTTTATGTATATGCACATAGATCTATTTCCCCATCATATATATTTACATATGTACATACCTGTAATTAGACATCTAAATGCCCTTTGCCTCCTAGTTCTTTCCTCTATTTCCTTTTACTTTCCTCTTGTCCCACTATCATGTTCAGCCTTCATTTGGGTTTCAATAATTTCTCTTGGTTATATTGCCCTTGATCAAGGCCTCCTGGGATTGTTAACACCACTTCCTTACCGCCATCTCCCACTCTCCCATGTCCCCCCAAAACTATCGGTCCGTCGTTTTCTCCTTCAGATTTTTTATCCTGCCTATCTTATCTAGATAGCGCTGCAGAGATAATAATATGCACAGATACTTTCAGATTTTTTAATGATTTACAAATACCTCTACAGAATTACTCATCCCAATTAATTCAAACTTATTTTCTATTTCTCTAAGCCCAATATTCCATTAGTATTACCAAAAAATAACTTTTAGCATAAATTCTAACATAGATTAACATGTTTTCCAATTGAGAACAAAGAAGAGGACAACTAAAATAAAAGTAATTTATTTTTAAAACTCATTAATAAACTAAATCAGAACACTTCACTCTGTCTTTAACTTGGTCAAGTAATCAGTGTGTTTCAATTAAGGGTCCCAGCAATCATATTTTAAAATCTTACTCCCCTCTACCCCCCCAATTATATATATGTATGTATATATATATATATATATATATGCTTACTTATAAATCTTACTCCCCTCTACCCCAATTATATATATATATGTATGTATATATATATATACATATATATATGCTTACTTATAAATCTTACTCCCCTCTACCCCCCCAATTATATATATGTATGTATGTATGTGTGTGTGTGTGTGTGTGTGTGTGTGTATATATATATATATATGCTTACTTTAAGCCCTCTCTCAATAAACCTTGAGCACCTATGATATTCCAGTTCTTTATAAACCATAAGCTAATAATGACCTATATGGCACCATGAAGCATAATTCTTTCACATTAAATTGGAAATGCCCAACAGAGACCATCCTGCTTATTCACTGCATTACAGAAGTGGTTTGTGGGCTAGTGACAAACTCTTACCACATATGGCAGTAGGGTGTTCTTTGGGCTGGAATATTTCTGTGTGTCAGTAATACACTTCCTGCTTTCAGAAGCACTGAAAGTCAGCATTGTGAATTGTTTAAGTTCTACTCAGTGGCCGTGCTGGTTTAATTTCAAAGGCGCCTACTTTCTCTCAGTCTTAAAAACATATTAAAAGCACTCTGGTTTTACATTTTAAACAAATTATTAAATGCAAATAAAATAAAAAGAAGTCTGATAACGTGACTTTTTCATCAATCTACTGTTGGCTACTTAGGATGATGATATATTAACTAAGAATGTTTCCATTTATTATTTTGAAAAATCTCATAACTTTAAGATTCCTACTTTCATTTTTTATGTCAAATATTAACATGTAGCACTTGAAACAGTCTTACAAATAAGCACTTACATATAGAATGGTTAAGTCTTTTTTCTTTGAAAAGCTACCAAATTTTATCATAACAATGTTAAGACACCTAAGACATGAAGACATTTGATTTATTTGTTTTATTTTAAGAATAAAACACTTAAAAGTATTTGGGGATACATTAACTGGCAAAATGTCAAACAAAAATTTCTCATATTTACAATACTATTTCATAGGGTAACCAAGTTCTCAAAATACAGAAGAGCGTTAAGGGAAAAATTTACACTCAAAAAGTAAACTGGCTGTTGGTATAGGTAAGGGAAAACAAGAATGTCCATACAATGTTAATGGCAAAGAACATTAGCACAACCCCTAAGGAGGGCAATATGATATTTACAAATACACATAACCCCTTAACCCAGGAATTGTACTTTTATAAATTTGCCCTCCAGATAAAAATAGCATGGGTATTAAGTGATATACAGACAAGTTATTTGTTGCAGGTTACAATAGCAAATCAGAAGTCTATCAACAAGAAAGTTAGATGAACTTGATAATAAATTGGCACTATTTTCATTCATATAATTAAATCCATATTGCTGAAAACTAATGAGGAACTTCTTATGTCGTGGAATGGCAATATTTCAAAATTACATCTGTAAAAATGTTTGCCTGGGGCTGTTGAATATTAGAAAGCAGTTTACCAAACTTTCAGCATGCTACAGAATTACCTGACAGCTTATTAAGCCCGAATTCTGGAACCCAACCCGAGGGGGTCAGTTCAGGCTGGCAGCAGTCATGAGAGTCTGCATTTTAGTACGGTGCCAGGTGATGCTGCTGCTGTCTAGGGGCCACATTATTAGGGAGGAAAAAATATGGTGATTTATTAGTATGGAGGAATGGAGGACATATCATAGGTTCTTCTGTGTTTTATGTACAGGTTTGCAGCATCAAAAAAAGGGTTAAGGTGAGTAAGGATTTTTCTTCAGGGTAGGGGAAAAGGATTAAAGATAATGAAGGAAAATATAGTTATTATACAGTAAGAAAAAAAAGGGAGTGAGGGGAGACCATAATTTAATAGTAAGAGTAAACATGATGCCAGCTTCTAATAAATGGTTTCGAGATTAGATTCCAGATAAAACTGCGTGCCACTGCAAACAGGAAAAGTAAAGTTTTCCTCCCCCCCCCCCCATCTCTTAAAACATCAGAAAAACCTAACTATATGTAACTGTCAAAAAGCAAAAAATACCATAAGAGGTTGTTTTCCAAGGTTGGTCTAGAAGAAAATGTGCATTAAAATCATCCAACTGTATCTATGTGTATGTGGGTTTTGTGGATGCTGCACTATTTTTGTGAGTTCTCAGTCATTCGTTCGTTTTTTGTTTTTTTTCGTTGTTTTTTTTTCGTTCGTTTTTTAACCAATCTTTTTTTTTAAGCCCCAGCTCCTTTTATCAGTTTTTTATTATTTTATTTAATTATTTTTTCTTTCAGTTTTTTAAGACCTAAATTTTACCAGTCTTTTTTTAAAGCCTATCTTCTTTTAAGGCAGTGGTTCTCAACCTTCCTAATGCCGCGACCCTTTCACACAGTTCATGTTGTGGTGACCCCCCCACCCCAACCATACAATTATTTTTGTTTCTACTTCATAACTGTTAATTTTGCTACTGTCATGAATGGAGCGACCCCTGTGAAACAGTCATTTGACCCCCAAAGGGGTCACGACCCACTGGTTGAGAACCGCTGTTTTAAGGGTTTCTGATCCCTCTCACCCCAAACTCATTTGTTTTCAGTTCTTTTTAGACTGTGCATGTAGTTCTTAGAACATTTAGTATTTTCTTCTCTTTGAAATAAATACACAAAAAGAGGTGCAACTTACTTTACCAAGCAAAGTGTAACTAAGTGTAACATTGCTGATTAATATTTATAATGCCTTGCACCTCTATATATTAGACATTCATATGCTGAATACATTTCAAAGTAAGATTTAATACTGCCTAAGCAGAAGATGTTCTTTTAATTCCAAATCAGAAAGTATCAGTAACACTTAAGTTCACCTACCTACACAAAACAAAGTATCTCCACATACAATTTGGTTTTAACTTCCTGATTACCACATTCAGTTATCTCTAGTGAAGTCACTAGGATAATTAACAAGAAAAAATAATGCATATTCTTAGAAAAACTAGGATACCCAGTGGTGCAGGGTTAAGTACTCGACCTCTAACTGAAAGGTACCCAAATCATCAGTTATATGGGAGGTGGATGTGGCAGTCTACTTCTGTAAAGATTACTGTCTTAGAAACCGGACAGGACCGTCCTCTATCCCAGAGGGAGGGTCACTATGAATCAGAATCAACTCAATGGAGGCAGGTTTTAGGCTATACAGAAACAGGTCATAATATATGAAGGGGGTTCACACAAGTCTGTGGAAAAATGGAACTGAAAGAGTATAGAATTTCCCCAGGAACTTTTTGAAGACCCTCATTACTAAGGAGGCTCATTCATGAGCAGAATGCTACAAGATAGACTGTATGAGAATACAATGAGTACTGAACACTAAAATAAAGAGTGTATCT